ATAACATTAGAATGCAAGGATGTGCAAATCGCCTAAACCCAAAACACATCGAATGGATATTTGATGATCAAGTATTGAATCATCTACAGTTCATAATGTCATCAGAACAGGTCTGGTTCTGTTCTGGGATCAGGAACACTTCCGCTGATCATTGTGAACACAGTTCATCCACAAATGCTGCTTAAAGCTCTATCGGGCAAAGACGAGGCTATAAGTGATCACCATCCAGAAACGCTGCGGTCTTCTCGGGAGCAAAGCTCGTTTAAAATAACTCTTTGAGGCAAAATGGAAAACATGGACGCCATTTCCTCCGTATTAAAGAGGAGAGGGACCATTCGGCTTCTAATCAGTCTGCCTCTCTGATGGTATGGGGGTGCATTAGTGACTGGCATGGGCAGCTTACACATCTGGAAAGGCTCCATCAATGCAGAAACATATTTACAGATTTTAGAACATCTGCTCCCATCCAGCAAATAAGACCCGTAGAATCCTACATCAGTCCAGAATGGGACAACGTTCTCCTCCAAAACCTGCTCCACTCAGGTCCTCCAAAACCTGGTGGTCTCAGTTTTAGACGTTGCCAGTCTACTAAAAGAAAAGGGGATGCTTCTGTGGGAAACGTGGCTCTCTAGCTTCCATCACGTTGAAAATACTCTGATTTCTTCTTATAACGTTCGATGTGTTTGCTTCATTGTAAACAAAGTGAGGGTTTATGAGATTTGCAAATCATTGAACTCTGTTTTTTTTTTTTATCACAAAGTGCCAACTTTTGTGGTATACGGGGTCGTACATGTGGCAGGTGCTCCACAAAACATTTAATCGTTTTCTGTGCGTGTTACGCATTTACAGTTGAATTTTTTATGTTTTGTTGGTCCTGTGTTGACTTTTAAAGTATTTATAGGAGCCGAGTTTTGTGGATACTTTGTGGCACACAAACATGGAAAACTGTTGAAGTTCTGATCCATTCTTTTAAAATTAAATGGTTTTAAAGTGGCTGCGGGCGAGTGTCTGTCTCCATGACGACCCTTTGACTCGTGGGCTCGCTCAGCGTTCTGTAAGGCATGGATGCTTTGATGAAATGTTCTGAAGTAGCAGAACATTTAATTTTAAAGTGTGAACGTGTCCTTTGAAAGCAAGTCTTGGAAACGCATAGATGTGCGTTTTCCACAAGAGGGTGCTGGTTAAATATTTTAAAATTTCCAGTTGGAACATGTCTCTTCTTTTATACTAACCTCCACGTGCATGCAGATGTCGCGGTGACACCTATAAAACACCAAAATCATTACAATACTTGATGTTACTCTGTCGAATCAGGATCTGTCCTGATGTTTGAACATTTTCTTTAAAGGAGTTCTTAAGTCAGGGCTGAGCAACTCTTCTGACCCTGCCAGCAGAAATCTCCACAGAGCTGCAGCTTTTTTACATCTTTAACTACGCTACACACAAACCTTCATGACAATCTGTAACCGCACAGGTTTGTTACAAAACTGCGTGTCTAAATTACACTAAACTGTCCAACTCTAGACACAAGAACCTCTTTAAAAGTTTGGACATAAGGCTGCGAGGGAAGACCAACAAAACAAAAACAACTATTAAAAAAACAGGTGAAATGTAAATATGCACATAAAATAAAAAGTCTTTTAAGACATGCAGGGAATGTGACTGAAAAAAAGACTGAGGCACCTTCACATTACACAGGTAGGCCTGTCGCGATAAACAATAAATCAATTAATCGCAGCATAAATTATAATTATCAACTTCATTTATCAGTTTATCGTTTCTTCGTCTCTCTCTTTCTACTGAAGACACTGGATGACAAAAGGCTCTACTCCGGTGCTCTTCACTAACCCCTCCCTTTCTCTTTTCTCTTTAAAATCTGTTTAACGATCCAAAAATTGCGTTTTTGGATCTTTAAAGCAGCTAAGTTGAGAAGCTAAGCTACGAGCTAAGCTAACAGGCCGACCGCGGGATAAAAAAACTCCGTCTTGTTGAAGCTCCAAAATTCACGATTGAAACTTGTGCCTTTGTGTAAAACGTTGTTTTTCTCTACAAAAAGAAGCTGAGAACTTGTTTACTGATTTTTTTTATTTAAAGCTTTGTGTGAAAAATGCTAAAGAGCTCAAACCACACGAGCGGCCGCCATTTTGAGAACCAAAAAAAATAAAAAGAGACGGCCTATGTCACGTCAAGGGGCCTCCCCATTTTTCTTAGAGACACGCTGCTCGCTCCCTCACTATCCATCCTTTGGTTCAAACAGTCTTATACTGCCATCCAGTGGTCAAAAAAGTTACTACACTCAAAACAAATTAACCAACGTTTCTTCTTAAATTTGACAATAATTACTAATTATTGTCAAATTTCAAACAATATTATCGTTTATCGCAATAATTTCTGAGACAATTAATCGCCCAACAAAATTTGTTATCGTGACAGGCCTATACGCAGGCACATATTATGTCATATAATGTTACATTTAATACAACCATAAAATTAAAGCTTTGCCGTTTTATCTGAACAGAATATCATTTTTGATCAATAATACACGTAAAGAATGTTCAGAAATAAATAAGTCAGAGAAATTATGCTGGTTAGAACAAATGTGCATTCATTGTGTGGAATTGTTTTGGTGCATTAACATTAAAATTGTAACAATTTGCTAAATAGAGTATAAAAATTAAACGGTGGTTATGCAACAGAAACAAAAATCCTAAAAACAAAACCTTGAAAATCTATTTATACTCCTTGAACTTTTCCACGTTCTTTCAGATTCCAGACACAAGCTTCAGTATTTTTCTGACATTTTATGTTCGAGACCAACTCGAAGGAGCTACTAATAAATAATTTATGAATAATACATGGCTTTCAAAATGTTTTAGAAACAATAAAAGTAAAATCTAAAAAGTGTGGCAAACATTTTGACTCTGAAACCGAAAACTAAAGTCCGGAGGAACCAACTGCCTTCAGAAGTCACCTGTGCAAAACTTCATCTTGGTATGAGCACAGCTGTAGACCTGTGAGATTAATCACATATTACTAATCATGCAGCATCATGAAGACCAAGAAACACCAGACAGGTCAGGAATAAAGTTGAGAAGTTTAAAGCAAGGAGAGGTTATAAAACAATATCTTTAGCTTTTGATTTCAGTATGAATATAGCTGTGTGCCTCAGAGGTTTGTTACAGAGCATTACTGATCAAACAGCAACATGAAGACCAAGGAACACTACAGATAGGCCAGGGATAAAGTTGAGAAGTTTAAAACAACGTTATATTAAACAAAAGGCTATTGTTGAACATCAAACTGAGCTTTGTTCAATCCATCAGCCCAAATGTAACGATTACAGCACAACTTCTAACAAGACATGGCCGTCCACCTAAACTGGATAAGGTAATTCTGGAGGAGCAGCAGGGATCCAAAGTCCAGGGTGAAGACTCCATCCATAGGACAGCTATTAGTCGTGAGCTCCACAAATCTGGTGTTTATGGAAGAAATCCAGAGGATGTCTCATTCTGCAGTTTGCCTTCAGCCATGTTGGAGAAGAGCAAGCATGAGGAAGAACGTGCTCCGGTTTGGCAGAAAACCAGCCCTGCATATCAATGGATATCAATGAGGTGGCTGCTTTTTTCCCAGCAGGAACAGGGAGCTTGGTCAGAGACTATAGGATATGGATGGAGCTAAAAACAGGGCAGTCAAGAAGGAAAACCTGTTAGAGACTGAGGTGGAGGTTCACCTTCCAGCTGGACGACGACCCAGAACATCCATCCAAAAACACATTTAAAACTTGAGATCAGAGGATATTCATGTTAGAAAGGTGTAGACTAAAATCCAACTAAGAATCTCTCTCATAAAATCTAAGTAAAATACTTTGAAGTTTGTGGTTGTAATGTGACAAAACGGGGGAAAAGTTCAAGGGTTGCGTTTAATAATTCTAGGTGCCGAATTCCAAAAACAAGAAAACTTTAAATAAAAAGATTTCAACAGAGCCATCGGTCTTTTCAGTGCTACTCATGTGGTTTTGTTAGGCAGCTGTAAAGTGTCAAAACAAACAGTATTTCTGGTGATTGCTCTTCTTTTTAAAAGGTCAAGACGAGGGATGCACAATATTATCGGCATGGTATCGGGCGATATTGGCGATAAAGTTAAATATCGAACATCGGCCATTAAAAAATAACTCGCCGATATAAAAGACGCTGTTTATATAAAAGGCGCTGCTTTTGTACGACAACCCAGTGACAAGGATGCTTGCAGCGCCAGCACAACATTATGACATCACGTGCGCCGTTGAGTGTAGATTTGTGAAAATTTACAAATTTACAATGTTCGAGTGTTGTCATTGTGTTAGAGAGAGTAAATGTCATGAATAAATTTTACATTAAACATAATCCAAGATGAAGTGTTGCATCATTTTCAGCCCCCTTATTGGCCTCTGCATTTGGTAGCAGGTCAAACTGACAAAGACCATCCAGAATAATGTATTTTAATTCCACAGCAGATAAAACTATGTAGTCTCTGTAAGTAGGTCTAGGGGAAAATATCGGTATTGGTATCGGTTATCGACCAAATAAGTTTTAACATATTGGCATATCGGATATCGGCCAAAAATCCAATGTTGTGCATCCCTAGTCAAGGCCAACCACAGACTGTCGCTTAGAGGGACTAACGTTAGAGTGCTACGCTACAAGCCGGAACAACATTTAACTGAGACGTGTCTCATACTGAAAGGCTTAATGGCACTACAGAGAAACAACAAGTCACAACTGCTGTTAGGTCAGTTTAGGTCAGGTGGACGCACAAACGTGGTTTACCCTTTTCAAGAGCTGGGTCCTAAAGTAGGAAACAGTCTCGCTGTCCGATCACGATCTGTTCGCCTCAACCTCATGGCGAGGGTAACCAGTGGCTCCACAGATCACAAAACGAGACGGATATTACAGACCCCATCACTCTGTGTGTTTCGGTGGGTACAGAAAGTGACAAAACATCCAGAGCGAGGTCGGCGACATGCTAGCTAGTCCACGTCTGATGCGTCGTTATCCGATAGGTGGTAATTGGAGCCTTTGACGCGAATGTACTCGACCTGCCGTCCCTCGTCCGAATCAGACACGCCACAGGAGCAAAGCTGGTTCTCGAACAGCGCCTCAATCTCCTCTAGGCGTCGGGACTTGGTTTCTGGCAGGCAGCCGTAAACGAAGGCGAACCCCAGCAAGGCCAGGCTGGAGTACAGGAAGAAAGCTCCTGAAATAATAAAAAAACCCAGAAGAACACGCCATCGTTAGGGAGTGGTAAAGTCACTGCAACTTTTCAGAACCGAGTTGCTTTTTTTGAAGTGTTTGTCCTCGCTCAGTGTCAGAGAAAAAGAAGTGGTGGCAGATCCAACAGGCAGCCAATACCGGATGTTATCTGCCCACTCACTTCTTCAGACTGCTGAAAAATAAAAATGTTTAACCACGCCGAACAAGCGCTTTGAAGCTGCCGGTGACAATATGATGAAGGATGCGGAGTGCAACATGTTCCTGTCAAAGTAGTGTTACAGCAGGGTTAACAGGACACAAAGAACCGTGGAACATGCACCGAATAATAATAGTTCACTCAGGAGGTGCCAAAAGTTTAATGAGATTTCCTGTCATTTTCATTTTCCCCTCGTCAAAACAAAGCGTCATTTTTGTTAAGACCGAACCTTCCCATTCGTTAAACACCACCTCTGCACCAACGCCTCGTTTGTTCAGCTTTGACCTAATTATTTTTGTTCTTCCTGGATTTTTTTTTTATCATCCAGATGAACAGGTTACTAACAGATCAAATCTATAATTAACCCTCAGGACACCTCCATCATCACCTGCGGCTGATTGATTTCCAGCTCCACCAAAGGTCAGTTCTGGTCTGTCTGAGGAGAAACCTGCTGCTGAGCAGAACTGACAGGAGCTACAGATAAAAACACGTTGACATGTCAATCAGCTGCTACCTCCGTTCTGATCTTGACTTTGAGGTATATGCGCTCTGCTCGGCGTGTGACTGATGTGAACGAGGACTTTCAGCCACAACAAAGAAACTCACCGTAGTACGTGAGATACTGAGCCAGGTGGAGGAAGGTGAGGGACACCAGAATGTTGAAGGTCCAGTTGACGCCGGCGGCACAGGCGTTCCCTGTGCTCCTCGCCCACAGTGGATAGATCTCTGAGTTAATCGTCCATGGCATCGGACCCATACCTGACAGAAATAAAAAGGAGCATAAAGACACATTTTAAACAAGGCAGGACACTAGCTAAAACCTAAAATGGAGCAAAATAAAAGCTAAAAGTAGACCAGAGATAGTCAAAAGCAGCAAAAGACTAGCTTAAGGTGGAAAAGACTAGCAAAAAGTAGCAAAAATCTAGATAAAGTTAAAAAAAAAGGCAAACTAGAAGCTAAAAGATGCAAAAGACTAAAAGCAAAAGGCAAGCTAAAAGTTGTAGAACAGTAATAAAAGCTTAAACTAGCAAAAAGCTAGCCAAAAGCTAAAAGTACCAAAATAGTAGCTAATTGATACAAGTAGCACTAGGCTAGCTAAAAGAGTGGGGCTGGATAAAAGCTGAAGGAGTAAAATGCTAGCCAAAAGTAGCAAAATTCTAGATAAAAGTAAAATAAAAAGGCAAGCTAGAAGCTAAAAGATGCAAAAGACTAAAAGCTAAATGTAGCGAAAGGCAAGCTAAAAGTTGTAGAACAGTGATAAAAGCTTAAACTAGCAAAAAGCTAAAAGTACCAAATAGATAAAAGTAGGATTAGGCTAGCTAAAAGAAAAGGTCTGAATAAAAGCTGAAGGAGGAAAATACTAGCCAAAAGTAACAAAATTCTAAGTAAAAGTATCAAAAGCCTAGTTCAACAATTTCCTGCAAGATTAATAAAGTTCTATCAAAGATATTGATAGAAGCTTAAAAAAGCAAAAGACTGAGTACAAGATAAAAGTAGCAAAAGACTGGCTAAAAGCTAAAAATAGCAGAATGATAACTATACTAACCAAAAATATAAACGCAACTTTTGTTTTTGCTTCTATTTTTCACGAGCTGAACTCAAAGCTCTAAGACTTACTACTACGTACACAAAAATACATTTTTCTCTGAAATATTTTCACAAATTATTGTAAATCTGTGTTAATGAGCACGTCTCCTTTTTCAAGATAATCCATCCACCTGACAGGTGTGGTATATCAAGATGCTGAGTAGACAGCATGATTATAGCACAGCTGAGCCTTAGGCTGACCACAATAAAAGGCCACTCTAAAATTCTCTAAGACACTCTAACCCCCGCGAAAACTGCCGGTTTGGCTGTTTGGTAAGCAATCAAACCCACCCCCACCTTTGTTGAAAGAAACACCGAGTGTGAATACTCACCTGGAGCGAAAGCAGCCAGGTAAAGCACCAGACCCAACAGAACGAGCCAAGAGTAGGAAGTGGGGCAGTAGTTGTAGGCCCAGTAGGTGTGCTCCCTCATCAAGCTGGAGTTGGAGCATCTGGCAGATGGAGATGTTTGTTAATCCCTCCTGAAAGCTGGACTGAGTCACCCTGAACGCCGCAGGGCCGGCACTCGGCATGCATCCTGTGACTCACCTGCCCCACGCCGCGTGCTCCGTGGAGCCCTTATTGACCGGGACACAGGAGGAGGCGAGGAGCGCCGAGCCGTTCTCACGGTAGCAGAAACCACAGCGAGGGTCCAGCATGCACGGCTCGCACAGTCTGCACGCAAAACAGCCGACAACACACACCTTACTTGTAAGTTTCCTGACTACAATCAATCAAATCACACTTTGGTTCGTCAAATATTCTTATCAAGTCCCGATTTTCTACCAGCTGATCGGATCATTTAAATACTTCTACCTCGTTCTTCCTTAAAAGATTGTTACTGATTAAAAACAACCATTTAATAGTTTTTGCATAGTTGTTTGATTAGCAAGTCAGAAGTGAGAGGGTTTAAAATGCTGACGAAGCTCTGACTTCTGTTGTTTTGAGGTGCAAATGTGATGAAGTGGTGACAGAAATCTGTGTTTATGCATCTGTAGCCTCCCTGTGCTCACCCAGCTCTGATCACACAAAGTGACAAAAACATTAACATGTTTGTATCCAGGACACAGAGGAACAGCTAAGACTGAGGTGGGAGTTACCATAAATAATCATAAAAAAACAGCAAATTAAAGAAAAAAATTGTTTTTAAAACTTATAACACAGGTTGAAATGAGCAGAACACAAGCTAAAATTAGCAAAACATGGGCTAAAATGACCTAAAAAGAGCAGAACATGAGCAAAATGAGCAAAACATGAGCTGAATTGAATGAAGCATGAACTGTAATCAAAAACTAAAATGAGCAGAATATGAGCTAAAATAGGCATAACATTAGCAACAATAAGCAGAAAATATGCCTTATATAGTAAAACTTACACTGCAATGAGCAGAGCATGAGCTAAAATGAGCAGAGCATGAGCTAAAATGAGCAGAACGTGAACTAAAATGAGCAGAACGTGAACTAAAATGAGCAGAACATGAACTAAAATGAGCAGAGCATGAGCTAAAATGAGCAGAACGTGAACTAAAATGAGCAGAGCATGAGCTAAAATGAGCAGAACGTGAAATAAAATGAGCAGAACATGAACTAAAATGAGCAGAGCGTGAACTAAAATGAGCAGAACATGAACTAAAATGAGCAGAGCATCAACTAAAATGAGCAGAACATGAGCTAAAATGAGCAGAACATGAACTAAAATGAGCAGAACATGAACTAAAATGAGCCAAACATGAACTAAAATGAGAAGAACATGAACTAAAATGAGCAGAACATGAACTAAAATGAGCAGAGCGTGAACTAAAATGAGCAGAACGTGAACTAAAATGAGCAGAACGTGAACTAAAATGAGCCAAACATGAACTAAAATGAGAAGAACATGAGCTAAAATGAGAAGAACATGAGCTAAAATGAGCAGAGCATCAACTAAAATGAGCAGAACATGAACTAAAATGAGCAGAACATGAGCTAAAATGATCAGAACATGAACTAA